GGTTCTTGCGGGGGCCCCAGCATGGTGTGCCATGGTGTCTGTCTGTCTGTCTGGTGTCTGTAGTCGTCTCAGTCTGGGCAGGCAGTTTGCTTCCACTGCTGTCTCTGTGATCAGCTCGGGAATCTCTGCTGAGCTTGCTGTGGGCAGGGCTGCCCTCCGCCTGGCCTGCAGCAATGGCGAGGCTACAGGGTTAAGGGAGTGGGCAGACTGATGTATGGCTCTGCCCTGGCTGAACCCACAGCACTGGGTTTGGACCCCTGCAGGGAGGAAGGAGCTGTAGTGCTGGCTCCTGCAGGCACCTCACCAGTTGGGCGGAAATGGAGCCAGCGAGCTGGGTGAGTCTCCCTCTGCCTGCCAGGCAGCAAAGTCTGATTCTGCCACTGGGCCAGAGAGGGTTGGCTCCTGGCAGCATGTGCAGGGAGAGGCCTAGGGGCTGAGTTGCCAGCAAGGCAGATGGAGTTTCTGGGGCTTCCGAGAGTTCCCATTCTGTTGGGCTGAGGAAGTGCTGGGGAGAAGTCCTCCAGCTGCCCTTTCTCCTGAGGAGAGAGTTCCTTCCTACTCTCGCCCCTCTGGTACTCCGCCCACTGCTGGCAAAGTCTTTCTAACTGCCGCCTCTGCTTTGGGTCTCAGGACCGGTAGGGCATGGCTGCCCTCCACACTGGCTGGAGTCCCAGCCTCCCTGAGTGTGCTGCCTGCCCCTGGTGTCCAGCCCCCTAATCACCAGAACCCAATGTAATGTGAGCTCATAGTCCCGGAGCAGATCTCCAGGGCTAGGTGTTCGGGGCTCCTGGGCTCCTACCCGCTCCCTGTGCTCCATTCCTCTTTCTCCTGCCTGTAAGCTCAGGTGGCGGGAGGGCTCGTGTCCCACTCAGTCTGGGCTTTGCCACCTCACCCTTCTCTGTGTGGTCTTCTCTCCTTCCTCAGATGTAGGTGGTCTGTTCTGCAGTCTTCAGGTTATCATCAAGTCTAGTTGTATTTGCTGTATTTTCCTCTTTTATGTGTTTTTGGGAGGAGATTTCCATCTTGTTTTCCTTTTCCACCATCTTTAATCCTCTTCCAGATGCATGTTTTTATTTCTCTACTTTTCTTACAAAAAAGATAAAATATTACATACTGTTTTATTTATTTCTTTTTCACTCCATGATGTATCCTTTAAAAATCTCATAAGAAAGATTTTAACAGCTGCTTAGTATTCTATTGTGTCATTAATCAGTCTCCTGGTAAATAAATTGATACTTGGGTTATTTCCATTCTTTGGGTAGTAAAACTGCATTGAATAGTCCTATACCTACATTATTTTGTGTATATGCAGTATATCTTTGGGATGAATTCCCAGAAGTGAAATCACTGGGTCAAAGAGTAAATAGGTTTGTAATTTTGATATGTACCTTCACAGCAAATTCTCTTTCTATTTTGAAATTATTTCACATTTACAGTAGAGAATAATTGTACAAAAAACTATATACCCTTTATATAGGTGGTCTGTTCTGCAGTCTTCAGGTTACATTCAAGTCTAGTTGTATTTATCCAGATGCACCCATTGTTAATATATTGTATTTTGCTACATTTCCTTTATCATTTCTCTTTCATTCTTTCTCACTCATATATTTTATATATATATACATATATAAACATATTTCATATATACACACACACAGATATGTGTATATGAATTTATGTTTTATATTCCTATTTTTTATTTGAGAATAAGTTGTACACATGTCTCTTTATTCCCAAACACTTGATTGTGTATTTTGTGAGAACAAAGACATTCTTTTATAGAACTGAATTTCAATAATGAAAAATCAGAAAGTTTAAAATTGTACAATATGATTATCTACTTGATACTCAAATTTTACCAATACTTTACAGTAAATTTTTTCAAATCCAGGATCCCACTTTGCATTTAGTTGTCGTGCCTCTTTAGTTTACTTTAATCTGAGACAGTTCCCCAGCCTTGTTTTGTCTTATATTTTTAAAGAGACCATAAGCCTTTTCTTTTCTAAAAATGCCATTAATTTTTGTTTATTTTGTGCTTCCTCATAATTATATTTAAAGTAGGCATTTTTGGTAGTATATTAATTATCCTTTGCCATGTAACAAATTACCCCCAAACTTAGTGGCTTAACACAACAAACATTTACTGTCTCTTACATTTTGTGGGTCAGTAATCTGGGTATAGCTTTTCTGGGTACCTCTGCCTCAAAGTTTCTCGCAAGGCTGCAATCACGGTGTCAGGGCTGTTGTTTCATCTGAAGGCCCGACTGAGGGAGGATCTACCTTTAATCTCTTCCGCATAGTTATTGGTGAGATTCAGTTCCTCATGGGTTGTTGTAATGAGGGCCCCAATGTCTTGCTGGCTATTAGCTGGTAACCTTCCTCAGTTATTTGCCATGTGGACCTCTCCATAGAATAGCTCAAAATATAGCATCTGGCATCCCTCAGAGAAGTATGGAAGGCAGAGAGGGCAAACAAGATGGAGACCACATTTTTTTGTAAACATAATTTTGAAAGTAACCTACCATCATTTTTGCTGTATTCAGCTCATCAGAAGCAAGTCCCTTGGTCCAGCCTACACTCAAGAGATGATTTTTTCATTCCATTTATAATAATTTCTCCTACATTTATTAGATGGCATTATATTGTAAGGAAGAGCTTTCCCCTGTTTTATTTATCATTTACGGCTCAAGTGTTTTTTTTCAGTGAGTTATATTCCATTATTGTTATGATTTATTTTGATCCCAAATTGTCCTATGTTTAAGATACACACATATTTTGATTCCAGATTGTTTTTCCAGTGATAACCTCTTCGAGCTAGTACCTGTGTCCTTTCACCATACCCCTATCCTTTTTTTTGAGCACTTTCTTACTTATTGACATGCAATGTGTTACAGAATTATCTTTTTTTAAAAATTTATCTTGTGTGTAAGTTCTAAGAAGTCATGTGAAATGTTTTCTTTTCCTTTATTTAAGAATTTCTCTGATACATTTTTTATCTGAAAATCTCCTAGAAGGTGTTATATTGCAAATGACAAAACTGATTCCTTACTTTTCCCAATATCTATATACTTGGTTAATAAAATTACAGGTTATGATAAATTGTTTTAAAATTAAAGTAGAAGATCAACTGAGGGCTTAACACTTGCCTAATTAAATTTGATTAAATCCTTCACTTTTTCCCTGGGAGGAATAAAGTTTTTAATAAACTTAAGCTTTGTTTGATAAAAGGAAGTAATTGAAACTCTCTTACATATCAGTACTGGGAGAATGCATAAGGCAGAATACTGGATATAATAAGAGTGTTACAGAATTATCTTATATTTTCCCTGCTCCAGTCATGAGATGAACCATTTATTCAAAAAGCCCCATCATTTTAGTAGGGGTATGTAGAAAATAAGATCTGGGTCCTGGGAGTGCTTATTGCTAATGGGCTGTCACTGTTTCTAGGCCTTTGCAGTGGACAGAGATAAGAAACACACACACATAAACAATGGAATACTATTCAGCCATAAGAAGAAAACAAATCCTACCATTTGCAACCACATGGATGGAGCTAGAGGGTATTATGCTCAGTGAAATAAGCCAGGCAGAGAAAGACAAGTATCAAATGATTTCACTCATCTGTGGAGTATAAGAACAAAGGAAAACTGAAGGAACAAAACAGCAGCAGAATCACAGAACCCAAGAATGGACTAACAGTTACCAAAGGGAAAGAGACTAGGGAAGATGGGTGGAAAGGGAGGGATAAGGGGTAAAAAGGGGTATCATGATTAGCATGTGTAATGTGGGGGGGTGGACACGGGGAAGGCAGTACAGCACAGAGAAGACAAGTAGTGATTCTATAGCATCTTACTACGCTGATGGACAGTGACTGTAATGGGGTATGTGGTGGGGACTTGATAATAGGGGAAGTCTAGTAACCATAATGTTGTTCATGTAATTGTACATTAATGATAGCAAAAAAAATAAGAAACACACACACACAAACACATATCTAAATCTATATACACACACATTTGAAATCATGAATTCATATTAATACCTCCAATTCAGGTTCTTCTCAGCCTTCCTCCTTTCTATCTTTGTATTTCCTTTCCTTTCTATCTTTGTATTTGTATTCTCATCCAAAAATGAGAACTCTGGCTCCCAACATTATGAATATATTTACCTAATCCTAAAATATGCAGAAAGTAGCTCCAGAACTGGTATGCTTATACCAAAGAGAAAAACCTATACAGTTCAAGATTTCCTTGCAATTATTTGTCTGAGTACTAAGGATAGATAGTCAAAGTACTGTGTTCAAAGTTACTTTTAGTATATTATTCATTTGAAATAAAATTATTTATTAATTTCTATTGTATACAATTGTAGAGCTTTTCCACACTCTAAAATTTGTTTTTAATTGGAATATAGTTGATATATCCACGCTCTACATTGATTAGTGTTGATTAATATTATTTTTGAATATGTAAAACATTAACATAATTAAAGTCAAAATTCTTTTTTAAGTGTACTTAGAAAGTTATCACTCCTCCCCTATCTCTTCTGCCTTGTTCACACAACCCACTGTACATAAACAATTTCATTAGTTTCTGGTTTATCTTACCTGTTTCTTTTTTTCAAAAAATAGCCACATATATTCATATTTTCTTTTTTATTCTTCTTTCATATGCAGAAGGTATCTATGCAGCAGTCCTGGCTTTGAATAGTTACAATACACATCAATTTCAGTTACCAAAGATTAAACAGTACCAGTCTCCTGAAAATAGTTCATAATTCAGTTACCATGATATATTAACTGAGTAATTGCATAAAATACAAATTTTGATGTTAGCCCTTCAGTACACAGATTATTTTGCAAATAAAAGTTGTGCACCATGATCAGTGACCAATCACACAGCATCTTTCAGTCTGTTAGTGATAGGTTACTGTTGTTAGGGTTGCTACTGTTACTCATGCGCAGACAGTGGGACATATAGTGTTGCCTTCTTGTCTTCCAGTGATAAAGCCACATGACATTTTACAAACGTGTATATGGAATTGACCAACAAAGATGAATGTGCAGCAAAAATAAAAAAGTGATAGTGCTGCCACTGAAATAGCTGACTGTGGGAATGCTGACACTGCTACCTTCAAGAGTCTCTAGACGTGCAGCCAGAGGAACTTAGTGAGCATGAACTTAATGACGTAAGTGAGGAAAGTGGTTGTGATGAAAAGGATGAAGCTGTCCCAGATGAAAAAAATGACACCAGCAGACGACTTCACATTAGAGGAACTCTCAGAGATATTTCACGACATTGAAAATTCAAAGGATACATAATGTACTGGAAATTGACCCAAACTCAGAAAAGAGTATGACAATTTGCAAAGGCATAGAAAAGATACTTGCTTCATTTTATAAGCTATAGGATGAGAAGCCAAACCCTCTTCAAACTCTTCTTAATAAGTTGTTTTTACAAAGAAATAATTTCTCCATGGTTCTAGTGTGTTAAATCACAATGTACTAAATAAATAACAGCTTTACTGTTTTTTACTTCCTTGTAAGAGGTTTTAATGTTTTCATTAAAAAATTAAAGGTCATGGAATAATCATAATTTGCCCCACTGGTTAATTAAGATCACTTTACACAGTTTCAACTTGCATGGTCATTTCTACAGTCCTGTGCTACTATGCAAAGGGGGGTGCCTGTATATTCTTGTTTGCACTTTGCTTTTAGAAGTTGTTTAATCAGTTTTATTGTGGTTTAATTTATATACAATAAAATGTACTTTTAAAATTTATACAGCTCAGTGAATTTTATACAGCTGAAATGTTTACATCTGTGTAACCACTACTATAGTCCAAATATAGAACATTTCTATAACCTTCAACAGTTCCCTCATCGACCTTTACAATCAATTCCCTGTGTCCCCAGTGCCAGGCTTCCTGTCACCATAAATTAGTTTTCATCTTCCAGAATTTCATCTAAATAGAATCCTACAACATGTACTTTTTAGTTTCTGCCTTCTTTTTGCTCAAATGTTTTAGAAATTCATTCACATTGTTGCATCTTTGAGTAGCTTGTTCCTTTTTATTACTGAGTATTAATTATTACATTGTATTGATATGTCACAGTTTATCTATTCATCTGTTGATAGACATTTAGGTTGTTTCAAATTTGGTGTTATTCTGAGTTAAGATGATTGGAACATTTATGTACAAGTCTTTCTGTGGGCATATGTTTTTAATTTCTCAGATAAATATCTAAAAGCACAATTGCTTAACCATATAATATCGGAAGTGTATATACAGCTTTATAAGAAGCTACAAAACTACTTTTCAAAGTAGTAATATCATTTTACATTTTTATCGGCAATGTAAGAGAGTTGCACTCACGCCACTACTCACCAATGCTTTCTGTTGTTAAACTCTAAAATATTTGGCATTCTAGTAGGTATGTAGTACTATTACCATTGTGGTTTTAATTTGTACTTTACTATTCACTAAGGATATTGAACATCTTTTCATGTGCTTATTGGCTATTTGTATATCTTCTTGAAATGTCTGTTCAAGACTTTTGCTCATCTTTAAGTTATTTGTCTTCTTAAATTTGAGTTATGAGAGTTTTAAACACTCTATTCTGGATGTGAGTTCTTTGTCACATACATGTTTATTTATGGATATTATGACTTGACTTAAAGACTCACTTGACTCTTCATTTTCTTAGTAGTGTCTTTTGAAGAACAAAAGTTGCAATTTTGCTATCCCCAATTTATTCATTTTTTCTTTTATAATTTTTAGTATATCCAACTTAAAAAGCTGCTTATTGCAAACTTCTGATGATTTTTCTCCTATATTTTCTTCTAGAAGTCTTATAGTTTTACCATTTACAATTGGTATATGATTCATTTTTAGTTGATCCTTGTGTATGGTGTGAGGTAAGAGTGAGGGTTCATATATTTTCAAAGGGATACCCAGTTGTCCCTTGGGAAAAATTTGCTGGAAACACTGTCCTTTCCGCATTAAATAATCTTGGCACTTTCCTCAAAAATCATTTGACATGTGAGTCTTTTTCTGGGCTAATATATGTCTTGAAATCAGATAATGTACATTCTCCAACTTTGTTTTCCTTTTCCAAATTTTTTATTGTATTTTAGGTGCTTTAATTTTAATATAAATTTTTGCATTATCATTTCACTTTATTTAAAACAAAAAAGTTTCTGGATATTGATTAGGGTTGCATTGAATCTATAGCTTCAATTTGGTGAAAATGAACATTATTGAATTTTTCAGTCCATGAACATGGTATATCTCTAATTTACTTAAGAATTCTTTGCTTTCTCTTAGCAAGATTTTGTGTTTTTCAGTGTGCAGATCTCCTGTATGTTTTGATAAATCAATTGTTTAGTATTTAATGTTTTCTACTATTCTAAATGGCATTTAAATTTTTTCATTTTCTAATTGATCATTGCTAGTATATAGAAATACAATTAATTTTTGTATATTGACTGTGTATCATGAACCCTTAATATATTTTTTTGTTGTAGATTTTTAGGATTCTCTATGCACATAAACATGTTTTATGCAAATAAGGCAGTTTTATTTTTTCCTTTCAAGTCTGTATGTCTTTTCTTTATTTTACTTGCCCTATTGCATTGACTAGGACTTCCAACCAAAATTGAATAGAAATGGTGCGAGTGGACAACCTTGCCTTGCTTCCAATCTTTTCTGAGGGAAAGCAGTTAGACTTCCACCATTAAGTTTCCATTGTTAGCAGATCGAGGAAGCTTCCTCTATTTCTAGTCTGTTGAGAGCTTTTATTGATGAATGAGTGTTAAATTTTATCAAATGCTTTTTTACATCTATTGAAATGATCATATAACTTTTGGATTTTATTCTGTTAATATGGTAAATCACACAGATTAATTTTCAAATGTTTAATCAACTTTGCATTTTTAGAATATACTTTTTAGAATGTGCCCAACTTCGGAAAAGGAAAACAAAGTTGGAGAACGTACACTACCTGAGTTAAAGATTTTATTACACTGCTACACATATATATGTATTAGAAGAGAACCCAGAAAAAGACACATATGATTTTTTTATGAAGGTGCCAAGATTATTTAAAGGGGAAAGGAAAGTCTTCTCAGCAAATTTTTCCAAAGGGACAGCTGGGCATCCCTTTGGCAAAATAGAAACCTTCATCCTTGCCTTGAACCATTTTTAGAATATACTTATTTTATAGTAGCTTTTTCCATATTTGCTGGATTCTCTGTGCTAATATTATGTGAAAGATTTGTGCATATATGTTTATGGAGGATATTGGTCTGTAGTTGACTTTTCTTACAATTTCTTTGGTTTTATTAGATTAACAGGTTTTGGTTTCACTGATTTTTCTCTATTATTTCTCAGTTTTTAATTTCACTAGATTCTTCTCATTATTTCCTTCCTTTTACATACTCTGGGTTTAATTTGCTCTTTTTTTTAAAGCTTGTAGGTTATTATTTAGCTTACTAAATTTATACTTTTCTTTTCTTCTTTTTTTTAATTAAAGTATCATTTATATACAATCTTATATTGGTTTCAAATGTACAACACAGTGGTTCAACAGTTACCCAAATTATTAAATCTTCACCCCTGTAGTGCGGCTACTGTCAAAGTAGAAAGACAGTAAAGAATCATGAAGTATTTCTCCATATTGTACTACCATCCCGGAGACCAATTTATGTTGTGATTGTGAATTATTGTGTCCGCTTATCCTCCTTCCCCCCCACCTACTCCAAACCCTCTCCCTAGATGACCACAAGTCACTTCCCAGCATCTGTGAGTTTACTGCTGTTTTGTTCCTTCTGTTTTGCTTTGTTTTTATATTCCACAAATAAGTGAATCATATGATATTTGTCTTTCTCCACCTGGCTTATTTCACTGAGCATAACACCCTATTGATCCATCCATCTAGTTGTTGCAAATAACAGAATTACTTTTATTTTTATGGCTGAATAATATTCCATTGTACCTCATGTCTTCTATCCCTTCATCTATCGATGGACACTTAGGTTGCTTCCATATCTTGGCAATTGCAAATAGGTCAGTAATAAACATAGGGGTGCATATATCTTTTTGAATCAGGGATTTGTTTTCTTTGGGTAAATTCCTAGAAGTGGAATTACTGGATTCTTTTTTCTAATATAAGTATTTAAATAAATAAACTTTGCTTTGAGCTTTAGCTGCATCCAGTGAATTTTGGATGTTATGTTTCCATTAAAATTCCGTTCAAAGTGTTTTCTAATACACCTTGCAATTTCTTCTTTGACCCATGTATTATTTAAAAGTATGTTGCCTAACTTAAAAATATTTGAGGATTACCCAAAAATCTTCTTGTCATCAATTTCTAATTTAATTCTATTATGATCCAAGAACATATTTTACATGGTTTCTGTTCTTTCAACTTTGTTAAAATTTGTTTTACAGCACAGGATGTTGTCTATCTTGGTGAATGTTGCTTGCACACCTGAAAACAATATTGCTGTTAGTGATTATTGTGCTTTATAATTATCAACTATATTGACAAGTTGATTGATAGTGTTTTCAAGCCTTTGTTTTCTTACCGATTCTTCGCTGGTTCTATCAATCACTGACAGAGGAGAGTTGAAATCTCGAACTTCAAATATGAATTTTTCTTTCTCCTTTCAGTTATATCAGTTTTATATCACATATTGTTTTATACACTGAACTATATTTTTAAGTACATACATTTATTTTAATTTTAATTTTAAAATCATTATAGAGTCACAAGAAGTTGCAAAAGTAGTACAGAGAAGTCTTATGTATCCTCACCCATCTTTCCCCAATAGTAACATCTTATATTATTGTAGCAGATGAAAAGCAGGAAATTGACATTGCTACAATCCACAGACCTTACTCAAATTTCAACAGGTTTTACATGCTCTCATGCATGTTTGTGTGTATGAATAGTTCTACATACTTTTTAAAATTATCTGTATAGTTCTGTGTCACCACCACCACAATCAAATGCAGAACTGTTCTGCCATCACAAAGAACTCCCTCATATTGCCCTAACCTCTGGCAATCTATTCATCATTTCTTAATTTTGTCATTTTGGAAGCATTATATAAATGATACCTTATGTGTGGCTTTTAGATTGTTCTTTTTTCCATTCAGCATAATGCCCTTGAGATCTGTCAATGTTGTTGCTGATATCAGCAGTTTGTTTCTTTTTATTATTGAGTAGTGGTCTACTGTATGGATAAACCATAGTTACTTTAGCCTTTTACCTGGTGATATTTGGGTTTTTCCCACTTGGGGGCTATTACAAATAAAGGTGATATGAACATTGTAAAGAAGTTCCTGTGATATATGTTTACATTTCTCTTGCATATATGCCCAGGAGTGTAAGTGCTGTAACATACGGTAAGCATGTTTATTTTTATAAGAAATTGGCAAACTATTTCCAGAGGACTATACATTTTGCATTCCCAACAGCAATTTATGAGAGTTCCAGTTTTTTCATATTCTCACCAGCATTTAGTATTATCACTATTTTAATTTTAGCTGTTACAATAGGTGTATGATATCTCATTGTGGTTTTAATTTTCATTTCTATAATGATTAATGATATTGAACATCTTTTCATATGCTTATTTCCCATCTATATATCTTTTATGTTTTTGTGATTTGCCCATTTGCTAGAATTTTTCATTATTCTTGAATTTTCAGAGGTCATTATACATTATAGATATCTGCCCTTTGTCAGATATTTGGAAATATTGTCTTCATTTTA